TCTGAATAACCATAATGCCCAGAATGTTGATATCTGGCCATTATCATGCTTGGTTAAAGGGCTACCAGGTTTGTTCAAATGAATGACCTTGACTTATTGTCAAGGTTACAGTGGTAAAATTTGTTTAAAATCTTTAAACAACTTCTTCTGAATAAAGATGAGGCCCAGAATATTGATATTTGGCCATTATCATGCTTGGTTAAAGGGCTACCAGGTTTGTTCAAATGAATGACCTTGACTTATTGTCAAGGTTACAGTGGTAAAATTTGTTTAAAATCTTTAAACAACTTCTTCTGAAAAATCACGAGGCCCAGAATGCTGATATTTGGCCAGTAGCATGCTTGGATATAGGGCTATCAAGTTTGGTAATTTGAATGATATTGACCCACTTTCAAGGTCAAATTTGGTCGAGTATGTATAAACTTTTATATGACCTAATCTCAATAAACAGAAGGTCTAGGGTGGTGATATTTGGCAAGTTGCATGCTGAGATGAAGGGCTATAAAGTATGTCATGACTTTGAATGTTCTTTTGAATGACTTATAGACATATATTTTAGATCCCTTTTAAGGTTCAATTGTAAGATTATCACCTGGTGAGCGATGCAGGCCCATTGGACTTTTTGTTTTTCGACTATCGATTATATGCTTTCTGTTCGAAGCTAGAACACCCGAATTGAAAATGAGGAGAATATTGGGTCAAAAATTTGATCCCAACCACATTGGAATAAAACAAAACTGTCCACGTCTCCCTACATTTAAATCTCCGGGTCGTGATCCATTATTTCGGTCAACATTCAAATCACTGAAGACCATACGGGTTAAGTTGTCCTCCTCAGATGTATGTTGCAACAAGTAAGACATCTGTCCCATTATAGGAAAGAGGTACAAGAAGATGACTTGTTTTTTCAGGATGGCGATAAAAAAGGAAAGGAGATTATAAAGGCAAAGTGCAATAGAAGAAATCATAAACATGTTAGAAGAGACGTTTGCTGCTGTTTCACTAAAACTATAAAATGGATGTAAACCGTATTTGGTTGGAAGGGGCCGACCCATTGGTTAAAAGGGAGAACAAGACAACGGAGACTACAAGACTGACATCACAAACCCATACCATCTTCATAACATAACATTAGCATGAAGCAGTACAGACTTTTTCTCTGGGCGAACAACCACATACTAGACCCACCTGACTGACAACAGAGTAGTATCACACGGAATAGAGGCGTTACAGTGGCGATCCCGTCCAGCTTGGACTAGCCTCTGTATAAAAGCCATTCGAGTTAACCGGTTGTTGCCATTACCCTAAATGCCGAATGTTAAAATTAACCGGAACATGACCGTTAAATTGGGAAACCTGTGGCTAAAACTGTAGTCATTAAATTTCATCAATGTTATTAGTGTTACATGTAACATGAAAAGATTTTTTAAATCCAATGACGTTATTCATGTGAAGAATATGCGTGCGAAGCCTTTCCAGACTGCTATTTATCTCAAAGGGTGCAGAGTTAAAGCCATGCTTAAGTTGTTGTCGTGCATAGGCGAATTCACCCAAAGCCAGGAAACAACCCTTCTAACGAATAGCGTTTATATGTTCGACTGGGTCAGAGCATCCTCGATACTCCAGGGATTATGCTCACTTTTACTCTCTGCACCCCTGAAATTTGTCATAACAAAACTGAAGGCTCAGTCTGCGCCACCTTGTGGATGCGACAAGAAGACTAGTTCGATCCTCTGATGTACATCAAAATAATCTCGCGGTCGCGTAACGGTAAAAAATTGACCGAGTGTGGCTCCTTTGTGGTCTTCAAGGGACAGGTATCAGCCTAGCGATTGGTCAGGGTTTTCTTACCTGAGACCAACCAAACAGGTGTCTTTGTGCCTTCAAATTTGCTATGACATATTCCAGGGGTGCAGAGAATGTTGATGAGCTTAACCCGTGGAGTATCGAGGATGGGGTCAGATGTAGTGTTTACACAATATACGTGTTTTTGTCTTAATTCATAAAGATCTGTTACATCACTTGGTATGCTAAACAATTGTATATTTCACGTATGAACAAACAAATGATCGTAATTGTTCAAGAAGCGTGCCAAAATGTGACAAGGAGATCGTCATCTTAAGGGGGCCATTGGGGAACGCTTGACACCATGTAAATCATCGAATTCTTTATGGAATGTAATAAAATAAACTTTTTTGGAATATATATTTTTTGACACGTTTAACATCCTAAGTGGAGGCCGCGTGCCATTAAGGCCTCTGGCATTAGCTGCTATCACTAGCCCTCCACTACTCGGTCGCGGGTTCGAGGCCTACGTGGGGCAGTCGCAAGGTATAAGGCGTAGGTCGGTGTTTTTTCTCCGAAAACTCCGGCTTTCCTCCACCACCAAAATCTGGCACGTCCTTAAATGAGCATAGCTGTTAAAAGGACGTAAAACAGAAACAAACTAAACTAAACCAAAAATCATAAGCGTGGTATTAATGGAAAGTGAATAACTTAAACTACATGAAAGTGTTAAAGGGGCATCACGGTAAAGTAACTTTATTTTTTGTCTTTTTTTCAAATACTACATAAACATATCAAGTGAGACTCCTTATGGAAAATAACAATCGGATTTGGCTGAAATAGATTCATAAAAATGATTAAATCTAAGAAAATCATCGGTATTTCTACCTGTCTGACCAACGTTTTGTTCAGTGATTTCCCTCTACTAGCGCATGCGCATAGCACACCATTTCTTTGTAAACAAAATGACTGGCCGTGTGAAGTAAGCGAAAGAAAAGTGTTGTACCGTGTCAGCTACGAAACGAAAAGTTGCCAAATGGTCAAAAGATAGCGCAAGGAGTACGTTACGGAATCATTATTGCAGGTGGGCAGTATTCAAAGGAGAAAATAGCTGCCGTAGCAGTTAGTACGGTGCATGTATTCTTCCGGATAGCCGGTTAAGCTGAAATGGAATCGACAGAAATGCTAGCGCTGTTTATGTTATGAATAAATATCTAAAACTATTAAGCACGCTAGTATCTTTGTCTGAGTTTGAACACAGATGAACTTAGTTTAATATGTTAATGGGCATGTATTGGAGAGAGTTTACTTTGTGTTTCTATAATTATACAGTGGTTTATGCGAAAGGAAGGGATAAGTGACTGGTTAGTTTGATTTTGCCATGAGGCCCTCCAAGGGATAACTGTTGTGATGGCCCACGGCGTATTTTCTGGGTCACCGAGATACGTGTTATCTAAGTCCGTGGATTTACATAATTTATAATATTACCGGGTTCAATAAAATGGTATGATTTAATTATATTGCTGAATTAAACGATTATTTTTGTTTTTACATGCAAGATTTAAATTAGTACTAATATGAATACCCGGCCTCCTCTGCCCCGGCAATATATAAAAAAAAATCAGAAAGGTTTGTCCCTTGGTGTAGGGAAGGTGTTTAGCCCCGTACCATCTGTACCGGCCACATTCCGGTACTAAATTCAATATATATTTAAATATATCTACTTTATGTTTATGCCTATTATCATTGTTGACATTTAATTGTAAATGTATGACGGGAGAAGGCTGTGATAAATTGTAAAAACTTGTGCCCCATCCCTTGTTTAATTTTATTGGCAACAAATTTATGTTTAAAGCTAAATAAATTTAAATTCTGAACATTGGCAAGTGTGCAATTAACTTCTAATGATGAATAATTACTGTTCAATAAGTTTGAATACGGACTTAGAAATCATATAACTTGGTTTCATAGTGCGGTAAGAAGTTGCAGTTGCCTGACGGCCCCTCTCTGGGGGCCCCTTTGGAAACCGTTTCATCTCGCTCGCACCACTTGTGTTTACTGCCTAGTCAGGTGACGTTATCGGCGCTATTTTTAGCAGGGCTTTCCCGAACAATTCAAGTGGTCAAACTGGACATTTGGAACGGACTATGAATATGGGGATAGCGAGGTAACATAAGTGGAAGTGCATACAATACATACATTCATTAAAAAGAAAACGCCTTTTGACGTGATGTCCCTTTAAGAAATGCCAGATTTATCCTGTTGATGAGAAAAAAGAGAGAAAACCTACTCCTCTTGAACACTTGATTATATTTCAAACAAATATACTGTAAGGCATCAAGGAAATCATATGTTGCATAAAGACAGGAGATGCTCACATACTGAGAAATATTTGCAGCATTATATTTATTGAGAATAGTTCTTGGTGGTTTATTTAATATGTATGTGAGCGATACAGTCCCTTTAGGTCTCTTTTTATACAGAATACATCGATAACACATAAACATATCGTAACACTGTGTTACGTTGTTAGGTAGGGTGGTATGTAATCAGTACAAATCGATATTGGGAGTTTTGTAAAGTTTACTGATTAGTTAGCAATGTTTGCCTATATTGATAACTCCAGTAACCCTCCTAAACAAAGCTAACCAAAGGCAATATTATTCAACATTAAGTCGCTACAATATTGAATACTCTGTTTTGAAGTTCCGATATTCAATTTATTACCTCGGAATGGTTTAGTATAGGATTTGAAGATGAGACTAATTTAGGTTTGTTTTCGCCTGAATGTATAATTTCTATCATGATGATCAATACACCCTTATCAAGTTTGTATTGACTGCACAACAAAGGAGTGTTGAGGTGAGTCCGACTGTCAAAGCATGAACAGCTTAATGAATAAAACCGATACCAACTATTAGTGTCATAGCATTTACACGTGATACAGTGTAATGTGCATCGATTCGGATTTCAATATTTTACGGTAAAAAGATAAAGAAATGTTGCTATATTTCTGTCAGCATGAAAATTAAAAACTAATCCTCAAAATTTTGTTTGAACAGAGACGTATATATTACGTCTCTGGTTTGTACCGCGCTGAAGAGTTCAGAACGGACTCCTTACGGTACAGCGTAAACATTACCGTGTCAACAGGAGAGGTCGCTGTAGAGCATAAAACGAGTATTATCTTATAATTTCAGCAGTCGAATACATCTCTCGGATTATATTGAATTGCCAATTTATGTCCAAGGATTTTAAAAAGCACAATGAGGACCCCGATATCCGATAAGAAAGTCGCAATCGTGAGTATATGTTTGTTGTTCGTGTGATTGTAAGTTTTTTCCTGGGTCATGAACTTGTTCCTGTTCAATTCTGTCCAAACGCTTGACTAAAGTTTTTTATCAATAAGACGAAGACAACTATACGACAGTTATGTCCTAAAGTGCAAGATCACGTTTTCGTGTAACGACAGTTTCCCAGAAACACTTAGAAATTCAACAGTTAACTCATCGTTTCAAAAATAATTACATTTTCTAAATATTCAGAATAATATTTCTTAATTTTGGAAGATAACGAAATTCTATAATCAATATCGTTAGCCATATCAGCATATATATTTTTTCATTAATAAGTGAACTTTTATAAGTTCACCCTGTTCTGTAATTAATAGAGGATCTTACATTCGTGTCTATGTCATTTTTAATTTATTACACTTGTTAAATGAACTGATATGACACGAGCCTTTGATATCTAATATTTCATCATATTTAATAGATAATGTCATATCTAATTATTGAACGAGTGTAATAAATTCAATATGACATGGACACGAATGTCATATTCTATTTATTACATAACACTTCAAAAACAATTATGTGTCCCAACTGACTCTATATAGTTAAAACACTCCGGTCTTAGTATTGCAGTTCCGCGCAGTGCAAAGTTGTTCCAGATATTCATTTTTATATAATCATCAGCTTTATATTCAATGAATACAATAATGACAAAATACTGCTCAAATTCATTTAAGATAACAGTAAATGTATCATGTGGGATAGTAAATAAAAGTAGAACGTGAAGTGGCGTAGGAATATACGTCCTCAAGATCGCAGCACCATTAGATTTTATTACACGTGTGTAATACCATATTTATGAAATGGCCGTATGACATAGTAACATTGGTCAGTTATGTGATATTAGCATATGCTATTCTCTTTCTGTATCTTAGGTATTATTTTAGAAGTAAAAGTTTAGGTCCAGGTGAGGGCGTAATGGGCGTACGCCCCCCGCC